ATGTTCCAATGCTGGAACGGCTAGCAGTAGTTTACCTTGGCTGAGGGAGCACAAACCCAGCTCTCAACGAGAGGGGGATCGACCTACAGCGTGATTCTAAAATCAGAAGGGTAAGAGTACTGCAAGCTAGCCAAACACTCAGCGCATCAGGGAGGTAGAGGAAGGGCCTAAATCGCCTGATGCTGCTGGTTCCAGGTGCTCTGGAGAAACAGAGAACTCAAACTCCTCATGTGAGAGGAGAACTCCGAATTCAGAGGAATAGCGTTGCTCATTCCAGGTAACCCTATGATAAAAAGGGGAGCACTGCTCAATACTACCACGAGGACAGCCCATGGAACGAGGAATCCAACTCCTCCGAGAGGATTAATGCTCGAAAGAAACACCATACTCACAATAACCCTCAATGGTGAGGGGAGCGATGCTTCCAGAGTGTGTCGATAGAGACACACTAGTTGAGTAGAGCCCAAGGTACTGGAGTCTAAACCAACTCAGAGAAAGGGAATGAGGTCAATAACGCGTAACCCTTACCATATAGGATTTCAGAAAAGTTGGCAAAGCATAACGTGCACACTTACCACTTATGTGGATTTTAGAAAGTGGGCAAAGCATAACGTGCACACTGACCAGCTATGTGGATTTTAGAAAGTGCACAAAGCATAACGTGCACACTTACCACCTATGTGGATTTGTAGAAAAGTGTGTAAAGCTTAACATGTGCACTTACCATAGTTTTTGGATTTTAGAGTTTTCCAAGCATCTGTTTACAGATACCTGGAAGTACTGGGCCAAACGGGAGAGGCAAGCTCAAATACAACCCTCAAAGGTGAGGGGAGCACTGCCCGAGACAGCATTTACACAGGAAGGTTCTCATAATGCCACCTATACCTCCCGCTCGATGCCTCAGCAAGAGGGGATATCCTGGTGATCGGGAAGCCCCTCAGGGCGACCCAGATACAGTAGACCAGTCAGGGTAGCATGAAAGCGTAACCCCAGCACAGACGTCCAGGAAATTTTTGTAGTGACGCGCCGGGGGCCTGATGATCACGAAGGCTCCCGCAGAAGCCTGTGTTATGGCCACATGATCCAGGAAGTATGAAGCCGAAACCCGGTTTTTCTTACCGTTTGGACATATAATCGACAAGTGAAATAAACACTGCAAGTCGAGCACCCGGTTACGAACCAGGCTTTCAGAGGGGGCCTCATCGAGGACTTATCCTAGAAAAGGGACAGAACACACAGGTCCCGGGAAACTGCAAAGAAACTAGCAGAAGGGTTATACACACAACCACCAGCTCCTTAGATACACACATATATATATTTATATATACATATATTTAGACATGGATCGTACTCACCCACCATGGTTCCCACGTCGGAGCTCTGTCTGAAGAAGCCTCTAGACCGGACCATCAGTAAGATGGTCACTATGAAGCCATAGAACCAACCAAACCTAATAGGTCCAGTATAGGAGACTATAATGCAGGAAATTTCCCACCTAACCTCGGTCAGGTGGAGAGATGGTGGTTACAG